CCAAAGGCAGGAAAAACCCCCAGTATCCTGTAACTGATTCGGGTTTGTTTATCCACACCACTGTGTGGTTATATCACATTTTGCAACACTAAGTAAAAAGAGAAACTGTGTCAACTTTAATTCAAGGCATTTTCTTTTTCCTACCCAGTTCAGTGTGTATATTCATACAAGGTTGTATATCCAAACAATGGTATGAGGTACCTATATAAAAACATTCAGCAGTAAAATACAATTCAGGGAGCAGAGGGCAAGCTGAGGGCAGAGCCCAAGCTCACACCCCCCAACCCACCCCAATCTCAGGTGGCATCTGTGTGACCAACCTTAGGCACTTCCCGATGCCCTAAAGCCAAGGGAAGGAAAAGCAAATGGTTAATTGATAAGGATCACAGTCCTGCAGGACTGGAGTCTCCCTCAGTTTACAAATGTGCCAGGGATTTACAAGGAAAAAGCATTCTTACAATAAATAACCTAACTTCCAGAAGGAATCTCCCAAGGATCCTAATGTTAATGCTTTACCAGATGGAAAAGCAACCTTAACTTTGGCAATGGCAAGGCCTTCAGTGTCTTGTAGGTGGTCTTTAGCATATGAAAGTTCTTTTGAAACCCTCCCTTTTCCCTTACTTCCCCCAACTCCCAAGTATATAATCAGTCACCCCTCCCGAGCCCAGTGCTCTGCTCTTTCTGCCGCCCCCCTTCCTGTCCCTGCGCTTTAACGAATCCGCCTGTTCGTGCTAAAGCTGTCTCAGGAATTCTTTCTTGGTCGTGGGCTCAGGACCTCACTTACATTCAAACACTACATCACAATGAAGTACTGATACATGAGATAACATGGATGAAGCTTAAAAACACAAAAGGTCACATACCATGTAATTCCATTTATATGAAGTGTCCAGAGTAGGTAAATGTATACAGACAGAAAAGAGATGATTGGCTGCCTAGGGTTGGTGAAGGGGAATTACAGGAAATGAGTTATAAGTAATATATAATGTATTATATAATACATATAATATATGTATTATACGTAATTAAAATGTATGGTGATGTACGATATACTGTATATGTATTGTATATATAATATGCAATGTATAATATAAAATGTAATGGTGATGTAAATATTCTATAATCCATTGCCATGTTGGTGGTACAATCTTTACTGACTTCTAGCATATTTAAATTGAGTGAATCGCGTGGTCTGTGAGTTATAACACAATAAAGCGGTTACAAAAATCTAATTCCTAGAACCAGAAGTCAAAGTCATGTTTAATAACTTATTAATACAGGGGCATCTGGGTGGCTCAGTCAATTCAGTGTCAGACTCTTGGTCTTCACTCTAGTCTGGATCTTGAGGTCGTGGGTTTGAGCCCCATGTTGGGCTCTACGTGGAGCCTACTTAAAAAAATAATAACTCATTAATATAGTCGGGTCTCCATTTCAAAAGCTACCAATTTTAGGGGCACCTGGGTGGCTCGGTGGGTAAGCCTCTGCCTTCAGCTCAGGTCATGATCTCAGGGTCCTGGGATCGAGCCCCACGTCAGGCTCTCTGCTCAGCGGGGAGCCTGCTTCCCCCTCTGTCTCTGCCTGCTGCTCTGCCTACTTGTGATCTCTCTCTCTCTGTCAAATAAATAAAATCTTAAAAAAAAGCTACCAATTTTAGAATGGATTCTACTCTGCCACCATTTTTTTGATTACTACTTGTTGCATCTCCTTCAGCACAAAATGAAACCTTTGAGATTCACTCGTAGCATCAACAAAATCAAGGACGTAGTCCAGACCATCCTACAGCAGATCTTTTTTTTTTAAAGATTTATTTATTTGAGAGAGGGAGAGCATGCACAAGCAAGTGTGAGAGGGGTGGGGAGAATCCTAAGCAGACTCCACACTGAACATGGAGCCCAACTTGGGGCTCAAGATCATGACCCCAAGATCGTGACTTGGGCCAAGCCCAAGAGTCAGGGGCTTAACCGACTGCCACCTAGGCACCACACAGATGATAGTTTAAATTCAGCAGTCTGGTCTCCATTAGTCTCTCCTCTTTTCTGAACAGCTGCCTTTTTTTTTTAAGATTTTATTTATTTATTTGACAGACAGAGATCATAAGCAGGCAGAGAGGCAGGCAGAGAGAGAGGAGGAAGCAGGCTCCCCGCTGAGCAGAGAGCCCGATGCGGGGCTCCATCCCAAGACCCTGGTTTCATGACCTGAGCCGAAGGCAGAGGCTTAACCCACTGAGCCACCCAGGTACCCCGAACAGCTGCATTTGTAATTGGAGGTAGCCTTTACTTCATCATTCCCATTTAACCACACCCTATCTTTCCCCAAGTTGGCTCCTAATTTTCCATGTTTCTTAAGAATTTGTCTACAATTGCCCTCTTCTAAGGCTTTCAGATCATAGTCAGTTTCCTTTCTGTAAAGATTTCCTAGGAAGCTGCTATAGTACTGTGTTTTACTGCATCCCAGCTCTTGACCCACTTAAAAATTCACAACATTTTTGTGTTGTGGATTTTAATTCTGGAAACTCTTTTTCCTTGTCTTGCTCATTGTAACCTTATTCAGAATTATGATTTTCTTCAAGTTGTTTCCACCTATAGAGTCATTTGTAGCTCAGGATCACACCTTGATTCCTTGGGTGAATCAAGGTTGAAGTATTTGAAGGGAGGAAAATGCCCTATAGATTTTACATACTTCCTCTTCTGCTGTTTCAAACATATTAGCCAAAATTTAACTACAAGTGGCATCTGGGCATTATGCGTTTAATTAGAAACCTTTAATTTTGCAGACACCGTTCAATGTTTGGTTTTACTATTAACCGTATTAACAACACATAATGAAATTTGTTGTTAAGTAAATTACAACTTGTCTTCCTAGAGTCTATAGTCCTTTGAAAGATTTTTCTCTTCGGGGGACCTGGGTGGCTCAGTCAGTTAAGTGGCTGCCTTTAACTCAGGTCATGATCCTAGGGTTTTGGGATGGAGCCCCATGTCGGGCTACGTGCTCAGTGGGGAATCTGCTTCTCTCTCTGTCCGCCGCTCCCCCTGCTCGCATTTGCTCTCCCCCTACCCCGTGTCAAATATATAAACCGTAGTAGGTTGAAGAGAGCATTATACTTATTTCTATATTCACTCTAAATGCTTAACTGTTTAATCTACAGATAATTTCTATTGAAGACAATTATGAGGAATAACTTTATGCAGATTAATATATAAACTTCACATAGTGTAAAAATCTTAAGATTAAAAAAAAGAAACAAAGAAAAAGGAAATGACTTTTATCTAACTACCCCATTGGTTAGTTGAGTGATTCAATTGAAGGATGAGCCCAGGAATTGTTCAGAAGTAACAGTGCCCTGACTTCTTCATCATCAAAAAACATTAGGTTGAAAAATGCCTGACCTCAGGAACAGAGCTTTGAGAGGAATATTCTGAAAACGTTTCTCTGGTGAGGCAAACATCTTTACTAGGATGATATATCACAGATAGTGCACCATGTCTTTGATGGGATTTTGGATTACAGGTGAGGTTCCGTGGGGTGAGGTCTGGAGCCAGCCACCAAGAAAGAATTCTTGAGATGTCTTTGGGGCAAAATGGTGGTTTAAGCACACCGACAGCACCTGTGCTTATATACTCAAGAGCTGGGGGAAAGTTAAGGACAAGGGAGGGTTTCAAAAGAATATTCTTAAACTAAAGCGGACCGACCTACAAGGTACCTAGAAGATGCCAGAGGTCTTGCCATTGTCAAATGAAGGTTGTTTTCCCCTCTAGCAAGGTAGTAACATTAAGGTAGTAGGGCCACCTGGGTGGCTCGGTGGGTTAAAGCCTCTGCCTTCGGCTCGGGTCATGGTCTCAGGGTCCTGGGATTGAGCCCTGCACGGGCTCTCTGCTCAGCAGGGAGCCTGCTTCCCTCTCTCTCTGCTTGCCTCTCTGCCTACTTGTGATCTCTCTGTCAAATAAATAAATAAAATCTCAAAAAAAAACCCCATTAAGATAGTAGCTGGATCCCTGGAAGAACTCTCACGTTTCCCACCCAGTAGCGGCGGGTGGGGGGAGGTTGCAGGCTGTCAGCTTCTGCTTTGTCTTCCGCTAGCCTTCTGCTCCCTCATCATCTTCCTGCAGCTTTTGGGCAGCTGCGTCTTTCAAATGAAGATCTGACCTTAGCTTGAGTCTCCTCGGCTTTTGCATGTAAAAAGTCAGATAAGCACTCTTTGTTTATTTTTCTTCTAGGCCTGTAGGTCTCTTTTCTGCTTGCCTGGGGAGTTTCTTGCACTGACTTCCAAAAGACTTCCGTTTTATCCCCATTGCCCTGCTGAGCTACATAGTTTCTTCTCTTTGGATTCATAGGGACAGTTTCCATTCCAGTGGCTCAACACTAGGTAAACACTGATACTTTGAAGACTCTGACAACCCAAGATACTCAGGTTCCTAGACTTATCCAGAAGACTACGCTGAGCATTACAGGAGTTATGTGATGAAACAAGGTTCCTGTCTCACAGGGAGGCATAATGCAGTAGAAAAAGCAAGGGATATAGCACTAAAAGACCCCAATTCTTGTCTAAAAACTGCCACTGGCAATCCATGTGACCCTGAGGACGTCATGTCCTACAACTCGGGAGGCTCGGGACAAGTCTAGTGACGACTTTCCGGGGTGGCGTTCCTCCCTTGGCGGGTGTGTGTGTGTGAGTGTCGGGGGGGTCCCGGTAGGAAGGGCTGCGGCCTCCGGAAGTCAACCTGAACGATTTGCACTTGACCAAGTCAGGGCCACAAGATCGAGGCACCTTGAGTCGGAGGGCTACATGACTTCCAGCCGACCAGAGGCTTCTGGGGTTGCCTTGGGCCCGCTCCGGGCCTGGGGAAGGCGTGTTCGCGTCCCGTCCTGAGCCGGAGCAGAAGGCCGAGCTCCCGGGACGGAAAGGAGCCGCGGCACGGTTCCCGCCCGGCTGCGCCGAAGCGCCACAGGTAGAGACAGGGCGATGGCTGGGCGTGGCTGTCACGAAGCCGCCGGAAGCGCATTCTTTCTTTTCCGGTCGGGCCAGGTCCACAGACCTCGACCCCAAAATGGCGAGTCGGGGTACGGTCTCTGGGAGCTAGAGCGATCGACTGGGGGACTGGTCCTCCAAGCCCCCCACGCTCCGGAGCTCGGCGCCGCCCTCGCCAGGCCCGCAGGGGCGCGGGAAGCGGGCGCTTCCTCCCCAGCGTGGCGGGAAGGCGTGGCGACGTCGCGGCCCCAGTCGAGGAAGAGGGAAGTGGCATCCGCAGAAGCCGGGACTGGGCGGAGGTAATGGAGAAGCCGCGTCGCCCCTGGGATTTGGTGGCGCGCGCCCCCAGCGCCATGGGCCGCACGTGCGACTGGCAGCCCCCCGGGGCGGTGACCTGGGGGGCGGAGCCAGCAGCTTCCCGCGGCGCATCGGGCGGTCCCAGCCCCGCGGCGGCGCGGCCCGGCGGGTACCCGGGCTCCGAGCGCCGTGTCCAGCCTGGGCGAGCAACCTCTTTGTCCCCCAGGGGTACGTGCAGCCCAGGGATGCTCCCCGGGCACCCTGGGGGGCCGGCCGCCCGCGGAGTGCTCGGGGGCGCGCTGGTGGTCGGGAGCGAGGGCGTCGCGGATTCGCGGGGTCCGGGGTGCTCAGTGACTCGCTCTGCACCCGACGACACTCCCCGGTTTCCTCTGGCTGATAGGTCGCCAGAGAAAGGGGCCTTTCTGGCTCAAAGACGTTAGTTTCTGCTGACATAGAAATAGAGGAGGCGCCCCTATGCCTTCTGCACCTGGATAGGCAGCAAGGAACCGAGCGTTTCTCTGAATACCCGTGGCGTTCTCAAAAGAACTTTGTTGCTGTTGCTGCTGGGATACCTCAGGGAAAATCAGCCTCTTAAGGCCACCCTTAGCCTTACTTAGAGATCTGTGTGCTCCTGAGGAAATGTAAAGTCAGGAGAAGGGTTACCTTTACTAGGACCCTTCCTGTCTCAGAAGAACCTCAATGATCACCCTTTCTCTTTCATTTTTTACAAGCTGACGTTGTATTTGGTAAAGGAGGCCAACTTGTGTTTCCAGTAAAGTAAGCAAAAAGTTCATACACAGGTACAAATCTGCACCGTGCCCTTGATAATCTTCCCAAAAAATAGCAAAAAAAAAAAATTGACATCTGGTTGCCCAGTTGGGGGATATTTGCTGAGAGGGATAAGTTTACTTTTTTCCCTAATTGCTTTACTTCTTCTCTGATCTGGTTGTCTCAGTTTTCCTGTTGGTATTAATACAACGGAAAGGAGACTATCAGATGTTCCATGAAGTAAAGGTTTCAGTCTTCCTAAGAGGATGAAGGGGCATAGTAATTGTTTTCTTCTAACTAAAGACCAAAGTCGGGGATGATCTGTTAAAATTGCGACACAATCAGATATGCCCTATTTGTGAAGATGAGACAGGAGGCACACAGATTAAATATTGGATATTCTCAAACTTCCTTTTAATGAATGGTGCCAGTTTTTTCATCTACCAGCTTTTCCTTGACCTTAAAAAAAAAGTTATCAGTTGACATTTGTCTTTGCGGAGCTGTGCTTTGTTTCACAGCTGAGTGACAGAGAGAAATATATGTCCTGAAGTAATCTGTCATCGTGAGTGTCCTGATACCTGGCAGTTGCTTTTAAAGGGTGGACTGGACAGGTCCTTTTCTGTTCATTCTTCTCTGATAACTATAAATAGCAAGGAAATATGTGTCATGTGGCTGTCTTCTTGACATGTGCTTTTTTTCTCCCCTCCCTCAGTGCCCTTGGGGAGAAGATCCACTCATTGGTTTTATACCAAACCTGACAAAGCCTCGGTTGTCAAAGGTGGCACCAGGAGGATGTCACACATAGGAGTAAAACTATTCCTAGAGCAAATGATGATGAGACATCTGGAAGTGAATGCATGCTTGTACCCACACATGGAGGCTTTGTGGGGGACTAAGGGGTCGGTGAAAGAGAGCTCCGGTGAGAGTAAGAAATCCAGCCCGCGAACGGACAGTCTTGGTCCTGAGAGCGCTCGACAGCACTTTCGGAGCTTCTATTATCACGAAGCACCCGGACCCCTGGAGGCTGTCAGCCAACTTCAGGAATTATGCCAGCAGTGGCTGAGGCCTGAGATCCACTCGAAAGAGCAGATCTTGGAACTGCTGGTGCTTGAGCAGTTCCTGACTATTCTGCCCAGGGATACCCAGAACTGGGTGCAGAAGTATCGTCCACAGAGCGTCAGAGAGGCTGTGGCCCTGGTAGAGCGCTTTCAGAGAGAGCCTAGTGGAATAAGTGATGAGGTGAGAAGCTCCCTTATGTGGACAGTGAAATAGGGTGAAGGTGAAATTGTCCAGGTTGGGTGTTGCGGGGGGCAGTGGAGGAACAAAGAGGAGTAGGTGACTCTTCTGTCATTCCTTGAGGACAGCCAAGCAGGATCTGAAACCACAGATGCGTGGGAGTAGTAGATGACAGGTTCCAGAGTTCCTGGCCATCTTTCTTGGCCTTGCAAAAAAGAAATGCATTTTGCCCTCTTTCTGGCCAGGGCGAACTAGGGGTGGTGGGCCTCGGCTGGCATGGCCAAGGAGAGAGGACTTGAGTTCTTAGAAACAGAGAAATAAAAGGCAAGGCAGAGTTGGGAAAGGGGGTAAAATCTGAAAAAAAAAAAAAAGGCAGAGCACTTAGAGATCAAAGGAGAGAGAGGGCGGCAAACAGAAGTATAAATCAAAGAATTCTGGGAAGACTATAAAAGAAGAGAAGAAATGGGAAGATAAAAGGGAAGCAAAGATACAGAAAGAAGAAAACTGCCAAGAGAGGAGTGGACAGAATCAGGTGCGGAGGCGTAGCGCCCTCTCTAGTGGGAGCGCCTGTCTCTGGGCCAGGAGAAAAGAGCCTCCATTGCCCTCCCTTGGTGGTGTGCCCTTGGCCTTCCTGGGAAGTGGGGAACCAGTGTACGCCCTTGGGAGATGACAGCACCCTTCCTTTCCTTGGGAGCCCAAGGAAGTGTTCACTTTGAGGAACACGGGGCACAGTATATTTTTGGCGTTTTACTACAATGGAATCATACGGAGGGAAGTGAGAGTCCAAACTTCCCTCTCATTTTTCCTTCACTGTATCCCCTTTCTCCATGAAATCCTTCCCTGGCTGTGGAAGGATTGGAAAATCTGACTGGCTGGGGATCTTTTTTTATTTTTATTTTTTAAAAAGATGTTATTTATTTGTCAGAGAGCATAAGCAGGGGGAGTGGCAGGCAGAGGGAGAAGCAGACTCCCCACTGGACAGCCCCCCCCCCATGCGGGACTCCATCCTGGGACCCTGGAATCAGGCCCTGAGCCAAAGGCAGACACTTCACTGACTGAGCCACCCAGGAGTCCTCTGGGAATCATTTTTATTCAACTCCTTCTGTTTTAGAGAAAACTGACACATTAAAAATGCCCTTAGGCAAGGGTCCCAGGCAAGAAAGCAAGCCAGTGAAGGGACAGTAAGAGGCAGTGTCCACGCTGAGAGGGGCCTGAGCTGTGGCTGGCTTGCTAAGCTTGCTTCATCTGATCCCACTTTCCTCAGACGATGTATATGGTTCTTTGCGAGGAAATGGTGGCGCAATATCTCTTTAGTTTTTCTTTTTTTTTTTTTTTAATGACTTCCTGGAATGTCACAGCTTCCTGGATCTGGGCTCTCCTCTTGCTCATCCCTCCACCACTACCCCCAAATGAAAAGTAAGTTCTGTGCTAATGAGGATGGGGATTATTTCTAGGTCACAGCCCATGAGCTGGGAAAGGAGGCAGTGACCTTGGGAGGAACAGCAGTGGCCCCAGGCTTTAAGTGGAAGCCCGCAGAGCCCCAACCAATGGGTATGTTCCAGAAAGAATGTTGGAATACATACCGGGTACTACAGGAAGAGCTGGGCTGGAAAACTCACAAAGAAACCCAGCCAGTATGTGAAAGAGGTGAGGAGTTTCATCATCATTCTCTTTTCCTGGGCACTGTCCTAGGAATCGGTTCAGCCGGAATGTCATGGGAATCTTCCAGGTGCCCAGCCTTGCCAGCTGTTAGGATGTGTCTCAGGTGCGAGGACAGTAGGCCAGTGGGTGGGTGAAGGTCAGGGTCAGCCTGGGGTGCAGAAATGTCCAAACCAGAGAACCCTGGTATTCACACTGCAGACCTCGCTCCTTAGAAGTTTGAGAGAAGATGGATGGACTAGGGACAGGTGGGGTCATCTTACCCTTCTGTGATAGAGAAGAAACTGGGATCGGAAATGGGTCATCGTGGCAGAATGGGGAGAGAATTGTGCACCAGGAAAAAAAATGATAAAAGAAACCGGCTACACTGGAGGACCTGAGTCTTTGATTTTTCAGTCCCCTCTAATTCCTGCCTAGCCCGGTAAACAGTTTATTTTATGAGAGGAAAAAAAAAATGGATCTCCTATTAATTTCTCTCACAAAATCTGGGGAACCGGTTCCTTGGATTGGTGGGTAGTCGGTTCTCATTTTCAATGAAAAGGCCGCCTCTGGTAGCACACACACACTTGTGAATGTGAGCCACCCTTACTAAAGGACTCCTAAGGTTCTGGGTTCTAGAAATCAGCTGAGGATATTTGTCAGCCCAAAAGAGAGACATTTTCTCTGGCTCTTTTCCATCCACAGCTGGGCCTGCTCAACAGATTCTAGCCTTTTCTGAGCAGAAAAGCACCCCAAACTGGAAGATGGCGTCTGAGCTCATCTTGCCTGAGTTCCAGGTGAGCCGTACTTTGCAGCTTTTTCAGGCAGCCCGCACCTGGCCTTGTCTGTGCTTTTCTCTGCTGCCCGCATCCCACAGTGCTCAGCAGGCGCTCTAAGGCGTGTTAGCCCCGGATGTTCACCTTGAGGCAAGTAGGCTTGGCATGGTGGGGACCAGGCCTCTCCCACGCTGTTTACTGATCTCTGGCTTTTTTCCTTTTCTGCTGTCTTCCTTTCCCCCACCTGAGTCTTAATACTGTCTTTGGTGGCTGGCCTGCTGCGTAGTTCAGAGATGAGGGAGAGGATGGCTTCCGTGGTGGCCTATACTGAACCGAAACCCATTCTCTTCTTTAGAGCCTGTTGACATTTGAGGATGTGGCGGTGTCTTTCTCTGAGGAAGAATGGCGGTTACTGGACCCTACTCAGAAGAGCCTTTACAATGACGTGATGCAGGAGAACTATGAGACTGTCGTCTCTCTAGGTAAAGAGTCTTCCTTTGATTTGGGTAGAAGTTGAGTAATCTAGCCACAGTTTATGGAAAACCGTCTCCTGTGGGAGAGTCCCCGGGTTTCAGTAGCTGTTTGGGTCTGACCTTGGTGGTGTGGGGAGAAGGCGAGGCGAATCCAGATGATTCAGAATAGATCCTCACTACAAGCGTGTCTCCCTGTCTTCTGCTCTGACTACCCTCGTCCAAGCCGCCGCCATCCCTGACCCGGTCTGCTTCAGTAGGCGGGATCCCCATTCCCCACCCCGTTCCACCTGCCCTCCTGAGGCTTCCTTCTCCACTTCATCCTTGCATCTCCGCCCACGACCACAGTAGACTAGAAAGAAGGTGCCTTAAGATTCTGCCCATTTAGGGGCGCCTGGGTGGCTCAGTGGGTTAAGCCTCTGCCTTCGGCTCAGGTCATGATCCCAGGGTCCTGGGATCAAGCCCCACATCGGGCTCTCTGCCCAGCGGGGAGCCTGCTTCTCCCTCTCTGTCTGCCTGCCTCTCTGCCTACTTCTGCCTACTTGTGATTTCTCTCTGTCAAATAAATAAATAAATAAAATCTTTAAAAAAAAAAAAGATTCTGCCCATTTAAACATTCGGAGTAAATGAAAGTGTGAAAGAGTCATTCCCTCTTCCTGAAAAGAATCTGGAATTAAGATGGCAGCCCATGACCTCAGAGTTTTATACTCAGAGCATCTTTGTTACCCCCAACCCTGAAGTAATCTGCTTAGAACAAGGAGGAGAACCGTAGATCCAAGGTCTCCAAGAGTTCGAGGACAGCCTTGGAGAGTCTCCTACAGGTAAGTATGTACACGGGGAGAAGAGGAATGTTCCTTGATGAGAACTATTACAGGGGATTGACACTCCAGGATTCTATTCCTGTGTTTTTCTTACCGAACTTCTTACTGAGATAACTATAGATTCACATGCAGATTTAAAATATAATACAAAGAGCACCTGTATACATTTCACCCAGCTCCCCTCAATGATAACTTCTGTGAAAAGTATCATATAACGTCACAACCAGGCTGTTGATACTGATATGGTCTTCTGACCTTTATATTTTCCATTTTGTCTGTCTGTGTAATTAGTTCTGTAAAGTTTTTTTTAAACGATCTATTTATTTATTCTAAGGAGGGAGAGAGTGTGTGTGTGCAGGGGGAGGGGCAGAGGGACAGATTCTCCAGCAGACTCCCCACTGAGTGGGGCCTGCGACACGGGGCTCAATCTCATGACCATGAGATCATGACCTGAGCTGAAATCAAGAGTCAGAGGCTTAACCAACAGCCCTCCCAGGGCTCCTCGTTCTGTAAAGTTTTATTGCAAGCGTAGGTTTGCATACTCACCTCTGCGGTCTAGATACTGGAGAGTTACTTGACCGCAGGGACCTTTGTTTTGCCCTTTTATCATCACACGCTTGTCCTCTGTACCTCACCCCATCACTGGCCCATGCCAACCACTGTTTTACATTTCTGAAATCTTGCCGTTTCAAAAGTGTTACATGAATAAAACCATAAAATGTGTAATCCTTTGGCATTAACTTTTTTCATTCAGAATAAGTCCCTGGAAATTGATCTGAATTGTTGTGTACCAAAAGTTGATTTTTTTGTTTGTTTGTTTTTTTAATACTGAGTAGCATGCCATGATACTGAGAGACCAGTTTGTATACCCATTAGCCACTGAAAGATCTTTGCTGTCTTCAGTTTTGGGCTAGCATGAGTAAAGCTGTCCTGAGCATTTGTGTGCAGAATTTTTTTTTAGAGATAAGTTTCTATTTCTCTGGAGTAAATCCCTTAAGAGTGCAATTGCTGGTTCATATGGTAACATGTTTAATTTCCTAAGCACTTGCCAAACTGTTTTCCGCAACGACTGTACCATTCCCCATTCCCAGCGGCAGAGGACGAGTGGTCCCATTTCTCCACGTCCTTGCCAGTGTTTATATCACCTCCATTTTATGTTCGCCATTCTGATCGGCCTATAGGGTTACCTCGTGGTGATTTGGATTTACATTTCCCTATGGCCAGTGATGTTCTATAGCTTTTCCTGTGCTTATTTGCCATCTCTGTTTTCCGTCAGTGAAGTATCTTTTACCCATATTTTAATTGGATTGTTTTTTAACTCTTGAGTATTGAGAATTTCTGTATTCTAGATTCTAGCTCTTTGTCGAATATGTAGATTGCAAATAGTTTCTCCAAGTCTTTATATTGTCTTTTTAATCCTCTTCCCATGGGCTTCCACAGAGCAAAAGGTTCTCATTTTGATGAGGACCAATTTTTCAGTTTTTTTTCCTTTTATACATTGTGTTTCTAGCGTCAAGGTTAGAACTCAGACTAACTCTAGATCCCTAAAATTTTCTGCCATTTTTTCCAAAAAGTTTTATAGTGTGATATGTAAGTCCCTGATCCGTTTTGGGTTATTTATTATGTGAGGTACGGAGTTTAGGATGAGGCTCATTTTTTGGCCTATGGAGGGCCAGTTGCTTCAGCTCTGTTTCTCAAAAAGGCTGTCTTTCCTCCATTGAATTGTTTTTTAAAATATTTTATTTATTTATTTGTCAGAGAGAGAGAGAGGGAGCGCACAAGCAGGGGAAGCGGCAGGCAGAGGGAGAATCAGGCTCCCCGCTGAGCAAAGAGTCCAATGTGGGACTCGATCCCAGGACCCTGGGATCATGACCTGAGCCGAAGGCAGACAGACGCCTAACTGACTGAGCCACCCAGGCCTCCCCTCTATGAAATCGTTTTTGCACTTTTGTCAAAGAGCAGTTGAGTGTATTTCTGTGCATCTCTTCTGTTCCACTGGGCTCTGTGTTTGTGCTGCTGCCAATGTTACACTGTTGATTGCCGTAGCTCTGTAGTATCAAGGCCATAATGTCTGTCAGGTAGACTGATGCTTCCCACTTTATTCTTTTTTGTAAAATAAAATTTTACTTTAACCCTTCTGGGGCCTGTGCCTTTCCATGTAAAATTTAGAGTACTCTTATCTATGTCTACAAGGAATTTTATTGGGATTTTGCTAGATACTACATTAAACCTATGTATTAGTTTGAGGAGGATTATGTCTTTACTATGTTGATTTTCTTTTGCTCAGTGAACACAGTGTGTGTCTATTTATTTAGGTCTTCTCGAATTTCTTTTGTCAACTTTTTGTAATTTTCAAGGTACAGATCCTCTGTTTTGTTAAATAGAGGCCAAAGCATTTCATATTCACTGGAACATTTGTAAATGGTATTTTTAATTTTGGTTTCTGTGTGTTCGTTATTTTTATATAGGAATGGCACTGATTTTGTATTTTGATCTTGTATTCTGTGATCCTGCTCACTCATGTATTATTTCTAAGAGGTTTTTTTGTAGATTCCTTGAGATTTTTACACATAGATAATCACATTATCTGCAATGCCTTTTAATGCCATAACTGTAGTAGCTCCAGCCTCCTGCTATGTTGAATAAGAGTGGAAAGAGCAGACATCCTTGCCTTGTCCCAATTTTATCATGGAAACATTAAGTTTTTCACCATTACCTATTTATGTTAGTATGGATTTTTTATTGTTGATACTCTTTTATCAAGTCAATATAATTCCTAACTTAGTATTTTTACCATGAATGGATATGGAATTTGTGCAACACTTTCCTGTGTCTTTTGATAAGAGTATGATCTTCAAAGGCTTGTTGAAATGGTATGTTATATTGATTGATTTCAAATGTTGAATCAGCTTTGCATACTTGCAGTAAATCCTTCTTGATTGTGATATCTAATTCTTACATATTGCTGTATTTTTTGCCAGTATTTTGTTGAGTATTTCTACATTTAAGTTCATGGGAGATGTTTGTAGTTTTCTTTAAAAAAAAAAAAAGATTTATTGGGCACCTGGATGGCTCAGTCAGTTGGGCAACTGCCTTCAGCTTGGGTCGTGATCTCAAAGTCCTGGGATCAAGTCACACGTCAGGCTCCTAGCTCAGCAGGGAGTCTGCTTCTCCCTCCGACCCTCCCCTCTCATGCTTGCTCTCTCTCTCAAATAAATAAATAAAATCTTTAAAAAATAAAGAATAAAAAAAAGATTTATTTATTTTAGAGAGAGAGAGTGCACATGAGTGCGTAAGCGGGGTTGGGGGGAAGGACAGAGGGAGAGAGAATCCTCAAGCAGACTCCCCACTGAGTAGGGAGCCCAACGTCAGGCTCAATCCAAGGACCCTGGGACCATGACAGAATCCAGAGTCAGAATCCAGAGTCAGCTGCTTAACCAGAGTCAGAATCCAGAGTCAGCTGCTTAACCACCTGAGCCACCGAGGCACCCCAGTAGTTTTCTATTTTTTGTGTTGCCTTTATATGATTTTGCTATCAGGGTAATACCGGCCTTATAAAATGAGTTGTGTAGGATTTCCTCCTCCTTTCTGGAAGAGATTGTGTAAAATTGGTGTTAATTCTTTAAATATTTGGTAGAATCCTCCAGTCACACCATGTGGACTTGGATTTTGGGGGGAGGCTTTTAAACTATGAATTCAATGTGTTTAATGGTGATAGTCCTATTCAGAAAGCTGTTTCATGTTGGTTGAATTCTGTTAGTAATGTCATGAATAGGGGCACCTGGGTGGTTCAGTGGGTTAAGCCTCTGCCTTCGGCTCAGGTCGTGATCTCAGGGTCCTGGGATCGAGCCTGCTTCCCCCTCTTCCTCTGCCTGCCTCTCTGCCTACTTGTGATCTCTCTCTCTCTGTCAAATAAATAAATAAATAAATAAATAAAATCTTTAAAAAATAAAATGTCATGAACGTAAGGTTATTTATACTATTATCTTACCATCCTTTTATTTATTATTTATATTTTTAAAAGATTTATTTATTTATTTGAGAGAGAGAGAGAGAGAGAGCAGGGGGAGGGGCAGAGAGAGAGGGAGAGAAGCAGACTGCTTGCTGAGGGCAGAGCCCGAGGCAGGGCTTGATCTCAAGATCCTGAGATCTTGACCTGACTCAAAATCAAGAGTCAGATGCCCGACAGGCTGAGCCACCCGGGTACCCCTCTTACCATCCTTTCAGTTATGGCAGGATGTGTAGTGATGTATCCAGTTTCCTTCCTGATACTAGTGATTTGGATTTTCCCTCCTTTTATTTTTGTCAGTTGTGAAAGTGGTTTGTCAATTTTATTAGTTTTCTTTTTTTTTTTTTTTAAGATTTTATTTATTTATTTGACAGAGAGAGATCACAAGTAGACAGAGAGGCAGGCAGAGAGAGAGGAGGAAGCAGGCTCCCTGCTGAGCAGAGAGCCCGATGCGGGACTCGATCCCAGGACCCTGAGATCATGACCTGAGCCGAAGGCAGCAGCTTAACCCACTGAGCCACCCAGGCGCCCTTATTAGTTTTCTTGAAGTACAAGCTTTTTCTTTGGTTGTGGCTTTTGCTCTGATCTTTATTAGTTCCTTTGTTTAACTTGCTTTGGGTTTATTTTGCTTTTTTCTCTAGTTTATTGAGGTAGAAATTAGATTATTGATTTGAGACCTTTCCCCTTTTCTATTGTATGTACTTGGGGCTGTACCTTTTTCTCTGAGCACTTCTTTACCTGCATTCCACATATTTTGATACATTGTAATTTCATTTTTTCTTATTTATTTATTTATTTGTATTTTAAAATTTTTTTAGTAATCTCTACACCCAACGTGGGACTTGAACTCATGACCCTGAGATCAAGAGTCTTCTACTGCACCAACTGAGCCAGCTAGGTGCCCCTGTAATTTTATTTCCTTTTTTTTTTTCAAAGATTTTATTTATTTATTGGTCAGAGAGCATGCACAAGCAGGGCAAGAAGCAGGCTCCCCACTGAGCAAGGAGCCCAATGTGGGACTTGATCCGGGGCTTTGGGGTCATGACCTGAGCTAAAGGCAGACACTTAGCCAACTGAGCATCCCAGGTGCCCTGGAATTCAATATTCATTCAACTACATATTTTTAAAGTTTTCTTTGTGACTTTCTCTTTGAACCATGGAAATTTTAGAAGTGTATTTTTTTTTGTTTCCACATTTTTTTTTAAAAAATGTTTTACTTATTTATTTGAGAGAGAGTGAAAGAGAGAGCATGAGAGGGGGCAGGGTCAGAGGGAGAAACAGACTGCCCACTGAACAGGGAGCTCAATGCAAGGCTTGATCCCTGAATCCAACGCCAGGATCATGACCCGACCCAAAGGCAGAGGCTTCACCAACTGAGCCACCCAGGCGCTGCTTGTTTCCCCATACGTCTAGATTTTCCTCTTTATGTCTTTGATTTCCAGTCTGGTGCCATTTTTGTTTGCTTGTATCCTGATCCTTTTGTCTATTAGGTTAGGAGGGTCAGGGTCCTTTTTAACTATTATAATTCATCAGTCACCCTGTTTTACTTTATCACAGAGCTTCTTTCCTAGTTTGGGGGGTTTACACTTCCAGTGACAGTTTAATGTTCAGAGGCTTCCTAGTGTTACTGTGGTTTCCTTGGTTTGTATGGTACAGCTAGGGTTCCTGTATGTCCCTGCTTCTGTCGCCTGAGGGTGAGGAAGGGATTCACACAGGCCCAGAGTGCCTCTCAGTCGGAAAGGGATGAAGGGGCTTGGGGGGCCAGGCCGCTGTGGCTCGGTGCCTCTTGCTCCTTCTGCCAGCCCACTTCGGTGTCTCCCGACTGGGGTTCGGGGGTTGGCGGACTTCCCATTCCGACTGCTGAAGCGATAAGCCTGGCCAGGCAGCTTTGTGTTGCTGGGTTGAGGGTTGGAAGATGCCGGCTGGGGTTGCCTTCTTCTGGGGCTCTGGGGATACAGGGCGCCCTGCTGTGTTATTCCGCTAGGACCGGCGTCCCAAACCATTTTGATTTCTTCTTACCGTGTCTTGGAACTCTCTGTTGGTTGTGGCTGGCATTCTTTCATTGGCTTGCCGTGCCCAGCAGGGAGGATCAGGAGGAAATGCTTCAGTTCCGTTTTGTCCATATTGGACCAGAAATCACTTGTTCTGTGTTTTGTTTTTTTTAAAGCAGTCATTGATTTTTCTCTCCATCCCTGTAGTTTTCCTGTTCTGGGACACCGACGGCTGATTCTTCTGTTTATTCCAACAGGGTTAAAGCTCAAAAATGACACTGGAAATGACCAACCTATATCTCTTTCTGCATTAGAAATACCAGCATCAGGATGCAGAGTGTTAAGAAAGGCCAGAATGAAAGTTGCCCAGAAAACAACAGGCAAAGAAAATCATGGCGGGACACGCAGGGTACGGAGACGGCACCGAGCTTTTCTAGGCAGGAAAAGAAAGAAACTTTCAACTCGTAAACAAGAGCTTCCAAAACCTAAGGATCTCCAAGGGAAAGGCCATGCAGGGGAGAAACCTTTTAAGTGTCAGGAATGTGAGAAAAGTTTCAGAGTTAGCTCTGACCTCATTAAGCACCAGAGAATTCACACTGAAGAGAAGCCCTATAAGTGTCAACAGTGCGATAAGAGGTTTAGATGGAGTTCAGATCTTAATAAGCACTTAATGGCCCACCAAGGAATAAAACCGTACAGATGCTCGTGGTGTGGGAAAAGCTTCAGTCACAATACAAATCTACACACACACCTAAGAATTCACACAGGAGAGAAGCCCTTTAAATGTTACGAATGCGGGAAAAGATTCATTCAGAACTGCCACCTTATTAAGCACCAGAGAACCCACACAGGCGAGCAGCCATATACTTGTAGCGTGTGCAGGAGAAACTTCAGCCGGCGCTCCAGCCTTCTTAGACACCAGAAACTCCACAGGAGAAGGGAGTCCTGTCCAGTGTCTCCAGTCTGAAGAAAGTCACCAAACGGATCTTGACCCTAGAGGTGACGAAAGAGTATAAAACTATGAGGCACCAATGATAGAAATTTGGCACCCACAGGAAATGTGGGAGGGGTTCATGGCCTGCTTCACAGAAAGAAATCTAAGCCGTCTGTCTTGTTCAGCATTGTATTTTCAGGGCCTAGCACAAGACTGATACGCAATGAGTACTTGATCAATAAAAGAGTGGAAATACAGCTGTCATCTACCTATAGTTATCTGTTCATCTATCTGTCTGTGTATCTCTCTGCTTACTCAGCTTCCCCATCCTCGGTGATCGGAGTTCTTCAAGTATCAGGTGCTCAGCAGACACGTGATGGCCGTGAGTCCTGCTCTCATTCTTTCTCCAGAGGGATGGAAAATAAGAGTATTCAGGTCCTCTGAAGGGAGTTTAGAGAGAATTACTAAGCTGGAGAGAGTTTCTATGGCTATTATTCTTTCAACAGGAACAGCCAAGCCTGGGGCTGTGAGGGAACTTGATTCTCCAGCAGGAAGGGAGCATTCGGTGTTTGCCTGGGAGAAGTGCCCCCAGGCTGTTCCCCCCCAGGGCCCACTGCCACCATGGTTTCTGTCAAGGAGTTGGAAGCAGCAGGCGAAGCCCTCACTGGCACCACAGACCTAGCGACCCTGCAAGTGCGTACCTCTCCCGATCCTCTCAACACCGACACTGATAAAAGGAAATAATGAAGGAAGCACTCCGGGCCCTTATCCACATACGTATTTCTTTGTAGAAGGCCCAGGGCCATGGTAAATGGCCTTTTTTTTTTTTAACTTTTTACCCTGTGGACTAAGGCTTTCAGATTGGTGCCACACTGCTCCAGAGCCTCAGGGGAAGCCTGTTTTTATGGCTGCTCAGCCACAACGCCATGCGCTTTGGATGCTCTGCAGGAAAGTCCGGAAGTTTTGCAAACGGAGGTGCTGAGAATGGCAAGGTGAACCAGGTGGCCTCATGGCCTCAGCACACATTGGATAGCAGGAGGGAACATCCAGAAGTGTCAGAGCAAAGTCAGGCCTAGAGGCATGGCCCCAGTGAGAACCAGGTCAGATGGAAACTGTGTTGTGATACTGGTAGTTTCTTTTCCTCCCCCATTGGCCTCGGGGATTATCTATCTCTGGAAAAGACAATGTCAGGTCAAGGGCAGGGCAGAGAAGTTGGAGGACATGGATTTGTAGCTATGTCAGATCCTAGTTTAAGATGTTGGCCAAGGCTTCAATATATTTATTATTATAAAATTTTACTTTTTTAATGATATGGAGTGTTGTTTCATATTAAACATGAAACAAAACTCCATGGTTAGTGAATCAGCCAGAGAGGACAGTCACCTTTTTGGCATAGATCTCTCCAGATATTTTTTCCCATCAAGAGACTGCTCTACGCCTGTTTTCAGGCTTGCAAAATGATAACTCCATCCTCTTGGCTGCTGTGAGGATCTAATCAGATGTGAACCTGCCTCACGCTGATGGGCCACAGTAGGTGTTCATAAGCATTTGGAACATTCTTCCTTCATCTTTCAGCTATTTTTTTAAAGATTTTATTTATTTGTCAGAGAGAGCACAAGCAGCGGGAGTGGCAGGCAGAGGGAGAGGGAGAAGCAGGCTCCCTACTGAGTGAGGAGCCTGATGTGGGACTTGATCCCAGGACCTGGGGATCATGACCTGCGCTGGAGGCAGACACTTAACCAACTGAGCCACTCAGGCATCCCTTTAAGCTATTTTTTAAAAAGATTTATTTATTTGTCAGAGACAGAGTGGGTGCGGGCACACAGGGAGTGTGGCAGGCAGAGGGAGAAGCAAGCTCTCCGCTGAGCAGGGAGCCTGATGCGGGGCTCCATCCCAGAACCCTGGGATCATGACATGAGCTGAAGGCAATGCTTAATCAACGGAGCCACCCAGGCGCCCCCTCAGCTCTTTCGAAAAGAAGCTCAATTAGGCAGAAAAGTTGAGCATCCTTAATGAATGGTGTTTCCATCATTCCCAGCCGTTTTTTTTAAGCCTCTTCCTGGTGGTCCAAAGGGTAGCCTGGTACGCCAGTCTTTTCTAGAGCTACATCTCCCTAGGCGCTGTGAGGCAATAAGCTAATGTCCCCGTTGAGCTTGGTATACTGCTAGCAGATAACAGACCAAAATAGACCCAAAGCCCCCAACTTGACATCCCTGCAGTGTGGCGGGGAGGTGATGGCGAGGGGCAGGACACTTTGTGGACAATATTTGCCCTCTTGGGTGTATCCATCCTCAAACCGATGGGAGAGGAAAGAGGTGACTAGAATGGCCACTAAAAAGAAAGCAAGCGTTTAGCCCAGAGGAGGAAGTGACTTGGAAGGAAAGGATCCCATTATATTCCTGAAGGCTTGGAGACTGATGGCCCCACCATCCCTTCTAGAACTATCTGTGACTGTGCTCTTGGGATTAAGGGGACATTCAGCTTCTTTCAGAGGGCACTCTTCATGTGCCTCTGTGTCCTGTACCACCCTGGGCAGCTGCTGTCATACCACCATTCAAAGGACATTCGTTCGAGTCGCATATAGGAAGAGGAGACTGATTCGAGAAGTGAAGGAGATACTGCATGGATGGAGCCAGCGGGTACGGCCCGCTTCAGAGACTCCATAGAGGGCCTGAGCGTGAGTCTGCAAAAGGCCATGCCCGTTGTCATAAAGCTGCCAAACCCTGTTATCACACCTGTTAGCCTGAAAGCTCCTTTGGAGGTCCTCGTCTACACTGGCAGGGGATCTGGGGCCTACTGTAGAGACCAGTCATTTAAGGCAAGCGGCAGGAAAGCCTTCCGATGCAAACAGGCAGAAACAGGAAGAGAATTGAGAATTGAGGATTCCCGGTTCTGAATTCAGACTCCACTGCCCTTCGGATGCAAGGGCTCCAAGAAGAAAGGACGTTCTCGTCTCTGCGGTTGTGGGACAGGATTTAGAAGTTGAGGCTCCTGGCTGACCTCTCAGTACCTATTTTTTTCCTGTGGGTTCATACCCCAGTGTCTGTGCTCCTGTCCTCGGGAAGTGAGGGGCATCACGGGGAAGATGGGCTGGGTAAGGAGAGGCCAGCCGCCCTCTGCCGCCCGGGTCTTCATCTGGACGGCCTGAGTGGGGAGGTCTGGGGCTCAGCACAGCGCCACCACTTGCTGTGGCTGAGGCCCAAGGGCATGTCTGGGTCCAGGCCCATTTGTGCAGGACCCAGGTCTTGACCTTCTCTCTCCCAGCAAACCATGGCATGGCCGCTACCCAAGAGTCTGTTCAGATACCTCCACAGTGACCGCTGCAGTTGCTTAGGACTGTGTTCCCTATGCCCTCCAGTCCCGTAGTGCACCGGGGCTGAAGGGCCCTTGGAAGCCGAGGACACCACCACTCCTTACTTTACAGAAGAGGCCCCTGGAGCTCAGGGTGCTTCCCTTCCTGGGGAAGGGAAGGGTAGAGGGAGGGATTGAAATGGTCTCTGTGGCCCCAGGCCTCTCTCTCCCCAGACGGGATACATTCAGCTCGCAGCAATGGCTTCTCGGGAAGGGTCCTTCTTCAGCCTCTTGGCTCTCTCCCGCAGGGCGAGGAATCCCTTCTAAGCGATGGTCGGCTTTGTTCTCGGAGGACTCCAAACCCTCTTCTCTCAAGATAACCCTCAGGTGGGAGGTTCCGTGTCTGAGCTCTTCATAGAAGAGCTGCCCTATTAACGAGGTGCCAGTCCTCCAGAAGCACATCCTGTCCCTGTCCATAGACTAGGACCAGGAACCATACCCCTTGCACCCGCTCTCCCGCCCAGAGGGGTGTGGGACTCATAGGAGAGTCACGGGCAGAGCTGGACATGGGGGACACATCCTGGAGACTCAGCCTCTCCTCAGAACACCCCACGTCCTTATTTCTCTGCTACATATTCCAGAATTTTCCTCCAGCACTGTGTTCATTCAAGATTCCAGCAGCCCCCAGTTCCCACATCCTTTTTGTCCTGTCCCTCCACCCCTCCCGCTCACAGACCCAACGCTGAGCCACGCTGTGAATGCACTTTCAACTAGTCTTTGTTTTTGAGCCCTCAGGAGGCCCTCCCGACTTGTCCAAATCCTTCCTTCCAATGTCACACCACATCTTCCTCCTGTTCCCCAAACTCTCTCCATACCGACTGTCCTCTTAGAACAGCATTTAAAACCCAGATTTTGTTAAAGCACTGATTGCTGGGCCTCAGCCCCAGAATTTCTACCTCCGTTGGCCTGGGGTGGGGCCAGGAAATGGGCATTTCTGACAAGACCCCGCGTTTGAGAACACGCCCCGTTTGAGAACTGCAGTCTTAGAACACCTCTCATGTACTTTCTCCCGTGGGCAGGGATGGTCTTAGAACCTTGGTCACTGGCGACGGCTGGCGCAGGGCTAGATGTCAATGTAAGCTCCCTGAACGCCTGGGGCTGACCACTTTAGGGTTAAATGGGATCTTAATCTGCACTTTACTCTCCTATAATTGGCAAATGACTACGACAACTAAGCCTGGCTGTCCAGGCTCTCCGTGTTTCCTGAGCTTTGTGGCTTCCCTCCCATCTGCCTGATCTTGCCGTCTGTTTCAGCCTCTGGGACGGCCGGCGTGCTGGCCCTCCTTGCCTCTCCCTGGACACAGGCCTATGCTGGCTGTGGGCCGTGCGGTCACCGTGAAGATAGCCGGCCGCACTGCGAGGACCTCTGGGCTCCAGTGGCCCCTGGGAGTGGCTCCGACCGGAACACCTTGGAAGCACCTCTGCAGACTGGTTTTTCTCCGTCTTGATGCTGTGTCTCTTCCAGTGTCCGCCCAGCAGGCTATCCTCGCTGGACATTGACCTTGGCAGAGGTCATCGAGCAGCCCAAAAGAATGCAGGAGGGAAGCACAGGGGCCTGGTGGTCTCCAGGGAGACTGATTGGCCTTTCTCTGCGCGCTCCTAATATCTTCCTCATTTTGGAGATAGGTGGGGGCAAGAACCATCCAGTGCTCCAGAGGTGAACTTGGCAATTGGTGCGGTAAGGGAGACCCTGCACCCTCGCTGTGGCCTGTAGCTTCCCAGCCCCTGTAGGTCAGCAGCGGCCTGGGTGCTCAGGACCCAGAGAAGCCTCTTGGGAGACGTAGCCTGAGGAACCTCTTTTTTTTTTTTAAGATTTTATTTATTTATCTGAGAGAGAGAGTGCATGTGAGAGAGCATGAGTGGGATGGGGGGATGGTGGTGCACGGAGAGGGAGAAGCAGTGTCCT